GGGGAGTCAGCACTTCAGGAAATACAAGTGCTCACTCTAAAAAACACATTTGAGATTCCATTATAAATCTTTACCCAAAAGCAGCTAGATATTTACATTGTGCTTTAACATTAGAAGTTAGTTATTAAAAATCAATTTGTTTCAGTCATAATATGTAATATTTTAAATAATGTTTGTTTCATTATTTGAAAACTTTTATAGTATGTCATACAATATCAAGGTAAGTAATTGCTATTCTTCAGTATTGAGAGTGCAGATTAATAGATCACATGATTATAGTGATATAATTATTACTCTTAATTACATGGAAATTTATCACAATTTGGAATAAAACCATCAGGCTATATTTATATGTGCTTAGTAAGATACAAAATAAAAAGTTCGGGTAATTAAACTTTGGAAAAAAGTTGCTTACATAATCTTTCTAGATAGTTTTTAAAAGCTTAAGAGAAAATGGGTATAAAATAATTAATGTGAAATGGTTTAATCTGAATTACCTAGATAATTTCCATATATGATATATGTAAGCTTAACTTCAATTAATTATACCTTAATAATAAAAACAAAACATAAAAGAACAAAAAGTCAAAAATTTAACAAACACATTCATCCATTATTGAAGAATTCTTTCAAAAACAAGCATTTTAGAAAGCACTTAATTTTCCTTTGCTTTCTTTTTTTATTCATCTCATAAAATAAGTCCACTTCTCTTGAATACAAACTATAAACTATATGAATGGCATAAAACGTTTTCTAGGATCATTTTTTTTCTTAATACTTGCATCAGAAACTATAACATTTAAGTTTTAAGTTCCAAATGGATACTATTAAAATATTCAGGGATTTGGTCCTAAATCCTTAAACCAAAAGGGAGCTCAGGAATACTGCTAAAGTAGAAAGCTGCACAAAATCTCAACTCTCATTTGCAAATTTTCTTTCCATCTAATTTAACTTTGAAGCTTTCAGACTCAGATTTTACCATATGACATCAAAAAACCACTTCAATCAAAATCAATTTACCTTGGCAATGCACCATCCTCCAAACAGATTATTTAAAAAGTAAAATGAGAAATTTACTCTCTTTTCATGTTCCCTTTTATTTTCTCCTGATGCAAGGCAGAATGAAAATATTTCAGAAGATATTGCCCTGAAATATCATTATCTCCAACGCCGTGTTCACTCTAGGACACTTGCTTATAAACTAAGCTTGTCCTCACACAGTCACTTGCTGCAGTGCAGAATGTCAGTTTACTCAGTTAGAACTTCCAATGCAGAAACCCAGTGCCACGCAGTCAGCCAGATAAAGCAGCACTTACCTTAATTGAAATTTTCTCTGTGAACGAGGTGAGAAATCCGTCAAATCAACCGTGAATGGGGTGGGGAGAGCGAAGTTTTCAGTCAGCACCCTCCAAGGAGCTGCATCCTGTGCTCCTTTTCCCTGTTATGTGCAGCTCCTCGCTGTCTAAGGAGAGAAAAAGATCCGCTGAAATCCTCCGAGGTTCCCAGTGAGTAAATGAGGATAAGCGATGTTTCTGAACGGGAGATTCTCCGTGAGCGTGCTCCGTTCGGAGGCTCCCTAACGGCTGTGATCGACTCCTGGCAGGTCCCTGGAGCCAGGCGCTAATCATTGACCTGATTAGCAAGAACGCTCCGGGTGCGCAGGCAACACACGCCGAGGGTTGGTGGGTCTCAGGGGAATTGGAAAAGGCACCAAGGCCACTTGGGAATCTTGTCTTTTCCAGCCTAACGGATGAACTACAACTATGACTGCAATTTGGAAGGAGATGAGCCGCCGGGCTGGACATCGCAGGACTTAAACAAATGCGCTCTCTCCTGCCGTTTTTCAAGGTGCATTCGTGTAAGATATCAGGTGCGGTGAAACAATTAATAGACTGATAGAGCTGATTTGTAAGGCAAGCCTAAAGCTGAAAAATGTTTAAAGCGATGTGATCAAAGAGGCAGCTGCACTTATCTCTGCCCCTCGCCTGCTACATACTTCAACCTCTGTCGAGGTAAAATGAATTTAAAGGCTGATTACAGCTCTCCGGAGTGCAACTCTGAATTGATAAAAAGGAAGTATTCATACTAAAGAAGCATATTTGGCAGTTTGCTACAGACACAAGAACAGAGCCTTGCTCGTGTAGTTTTCCAAACAGTATTTTCAATTAACATTACACCTGCAAAAAAATGTTTGCATTGTACCATTAACTAGAGTCACGTAGGAGAGTACATCACACCTAATCGAATCATCTCTTTAATTATCTGTTGAAATACTGATTCACTAAAACAAAAACAAGCAAGCATATGAGAGGATCCAAAACATCAAACAACTTTTTAAACGCAGTCACGTGCCGTTACCAACCTGCTGGCCCCCATCCATCATCCGCCCTTTCAGCCACTGACCACCACCTCAGCACGTCCACATCCAGTTCCTACTTCCCTCAAGAAATCCGATTCTCTGGAAAAGGTCACATAACTGGATCCCAAAGCCCCAAATGGTTAATTTTTGACAGCTCTCACTTTCGCAGGAGAAAATTATGCAAATAACATAAAAAGAACAGATGAGAAAAGTCATTTGCATGTCTTGAGGGTGAGAAAATTCTCATTGCCAGAGAGAAAACTGACGACTGTCCTCTCACAGTGATCCTGAGTGATATGTTCAGCACTTTTTTTTTTCAAGTAGGTCTCACTTGGGACATATGGCATTCCCTTGATGTATGTGTGTGCGTGTGTGTGGGGGGTGAGTGTGCTTGCGTGTGTGTGTTAAAAAGAGGGAGAGGGGAAGAGAGAGAAGCTATATCTACACTGTGATATTTACATATATCTTAGAAAAGCCCCAAATTTCAGTAGGCGAATGGACTAAGCAAAAATAATAGATAATCCATTTGCCTTATAGATTCCCAAATAATTTTTTTTTAATTTGTACCATTACAATACTTTAAAAATTAAATATTTTAAGTATCTCATTAAAATACAAGCTCTTGATGAAGCTCTTTACTATTTGGACAAAGTAAAACTTCAAGGTAACTGAACTGCTGTTACTAAGACAGGTACTCATCCTACTGTGAAAACGGAGATGTCCCTAAAGAAGCCCCAGGAGGAGGTGGGGCTGTAGACTCCCATGCAGAGGCCTCTTGCTCCCTCAGCTGGTGGAGGGTGACAGCTGAACGTGAAGAAACCCAGTCAACCACTTCAGGAGAGGGAGAACAATGTCTGCTGCTGTTAAGCAGGAAACCCATTATCCAATTTTAGACTGGCACAAGAGTAGGAAGGAGGCTGCTTAAATCGAAGTAAATGCATCTTGAGCATAAATTGCAAAAACAAGAAAATGTAACTGCTAATTTCTCCTGAGAGGGTCCCAACTAGTCTTTAACGCAGTACTTGTAAATAACAGTGGGATAGATTCTATGGCTATTATGTGTAGCTGGTCAAGCAGTTAAAGCCCTCCATTTCTCATATTGGTCTGAGTTCCATTCTGAGGATCTTAAACGGTGAACTATTTTTAAAACTTTTTAAAACATTAAGACAGGGCTTATTTTCCTGAACCTTGCCAACACGCAATCATCATCACCAACGAAAACAGGTGCACATGAAATTTTGTGCAGACGATTGGTTCTACCTGGAAACCTCAGGTGTATGAGACTGCACTGATGACACTCTCAAATAATCAGTCTTTCTGTTCTCATAAAATCCAGGGGTCTGGATGGGCACTGTGGCTCACGCCTGTAATCCCAGCACATCGGGAGGCTGAGGTAGGCAGATCACAGGTCAAGAAATCGAGGCCACCCTGGCTAAAATGGTGACACCTGGTCTCCACTAAAATACAAAAAATTAGCTGAGCTTGGTGGCAGGAGCCTGTAATCCCAGCTACTCTGTAGGCTGAGGCAGGAGAATTTCTTGAACCCTGGAAGTTGAGGTTGCAGTGAGCCGAGATCGCGCCACTGAACACTGGCGAAAGACCTGGGTGATTTCGTCTCGGGGGAAAAAATTCAGGGGTCTTTCAAAACTCTAAATGGTTTCAACAGAGAGTATGATGACTCTTCAGTAGTTTTTTAAACCTATATTGAACCACTAATTGATTGCATTGAAAGTTCACACATGAATAACAAAGCAAAATAAGACAATTTTGTTGGGGGAGGGAGGGTAGACAACAGTCACATGAAAATAATAGGCACTGTCTCTTACATGCTTGCTGTGTCAAGTGTTTGGCATGCATGTCAGCTGTAGCTACCCCTGAACCCCTTGGTCCAATCTTGTTAAGAAGGTATTATAATATTTTGTGTTTTTAATCAATTAAGGTAGGGCTCTGAGAAGTTAAGTAAATTTACCGATGTTGCATAGCAAGTATAGAAGAAACTCACAACTAGAAGTCAGGTAACTGTAACTATAAAATTACCAAATATTTGGAAGTTCCCAAATGTTAAAACTGGTAAAAACGCCTACTTCCAACAGAATAGCAAAATTGTCTAGTTTTTTTTGACTTCCAAAAATCATTTTTGCATGTTTAAAAACTGTATTATAACTGATAAAGTAGTGTAACAGTTCTGCTATAAAAAGTTACGTATGTTTTAGCAGAAAATAAAATTCACAAAAAAACTTTAGGCTAAAAAATAGATTCCATCTAGAGCTTCCAAATATATAACTCCATTGGCACAAATTATTCAGTTTCAAATTTTTAAGACTCCCTTCTGCAATTCATTCAGTATCCCACTCAAATATAATAATTACTGCTTTTTAAAACAAGAAAATAGCTCCTCTCTAAGTATATGAGTATCTCAAGAACATTTACAAAACTATATTAGGCCAAAATTATGATGACTTACTATCCTAGTTCTCCAAGTGGCATAATGTAATAGCAAAGCTCAAATGTATGTAGAGCTACAAAGTTTAACTCTGGCTTGTTCATGCTTTATCTACAGGTTTCCTAAAGTCACATGAATCCTACCATTTCATACAGTTCTTTGAAGTTCTCAGACACATCTGAAACTTCACAGAGAAGCATTGTGACCACACTTTTTCAAGGTGTTTAATAAAAGTTCCATCTAAAAAACTGACGATAACGCAAAGTAATGCAACATTTAAACTTTGCCAAGAACTTATTATCGCATTTGATTCTTATGGGAATCCTGTGAAATAGGCTACCATGTGCATTTTTCTCATATTTTAGTGATGAGGAGACGAGGACTAAAAAGAGCAAGTGATTGTCCTTTGGTGTTCAATGGTGGAAAACCTAATGTTCTCCTTTTCACACAAGTCATATTGCTCCTCACTATGTCAATCAAATGTTTATCTGAGTCATTTGTTGACAAAGAGGATCTTAGGCGGCTATCTGAACAAAAGCCACTCTTTCTTCATTCTCTTAGGTTTGTTCCAAACTGTAAATTGTGATTGTAATTTATTGGAGAAAAACTTACTCTGAGCTGACAGGAAACTTGTGATTTATATACACTGGAATAACACCCCTTAGATTTCTTACAGACTTTTCCTAATCTTGGCTATTATTATTTAAATTTCAGATATGTGAAGATGCTTTCCAAATATTAGTCTTATGATTCTTACACAAATAGAATCTTGCTTTTGTATACAATTGTAGATTCAGCTGTTACCTCCCTACCATTCTTGTGGTGGTTTATCAGAACAGATGTTGAAAAATTAGTGTTAGTTTTAAATATATATATATATATATATATTTACCATTTCATACAGTTCTTTGTGTATATATATATATACACACACGCACACATAACATACATACATAAACAAGCCACCTAACTAATAACAAATTGATCTTGCGGCAGCAGCAGCATTGAGCAAATATGAGCAAATACTATCACACAGAAGTTTGCTGAATGCTAATAGATTCTCATGTATTATACATATTTCTGCTTATGTCTAAATCATGGAGGACGAATGACTAAATTCACCAGCCTTCAAGAGAAACTTTTATTTTTGGTTCCAGTTTCACACATATATACTCAAGAGATTAGGATAGGATGAAATTATAGAAAAAACGAAAGCGGCCAGGCGCGGTGGCTCAATCCTGTAATCCCAGTACTTTGGGAAGCCGAGGACGGTGGATCATGAGGTCAAGAGATCGAGACCATCCTGGCCAACATGTGAAATCCCGTCTCTACTAAAAATACAAAAGTTAGCTGGCTGTGGTGGCGTGCACCTGTAGTCCCAGCTACTTGGGAGGCTGAGGCAGGAGAATTGTCTGAACCCGGGAGGTGGAGATTGCAGTGAACCACTGCACTCCAGCCTGGCAGTGGGGCAGAGTGAGACTCTGTCTCAAAAAAAAAAAAAAAAGAAAGAAAGTAGGATAGATATCAGAAAACATAGACTATAGTCAAAATTCTAGCACTAAGTAGCTTTCTAACCCTGAAACATCTAAAAAGCTTCTATTTAATAATTTCATTGGAAAATTTGAGGAAATGAAAGTCTATTATCTCTAAGATTTCAGTCAGTTATGAAAACACATTATCTATTTGACTAATAATTTGTGATGTCCTTTTTACCTAATTCAGAAATAAACAATCAAAAAAGAATTATTGTATCCAAATACATGTCTTCTTCCTTCTTGTATCCTTTGGTGCTCCTAACAAATTATTTTATACTATAAAGAACATTATAGCAAGAATGTGTTGATTTCACAGTTCAAGTAATTAAAAAAAATCAAACAGAAGTTATTGATTTGAAATTTTAAGTGGAGTAGATTAAAAAATTACTAAGGTTGGGAATATTCTTTAAATGTTTTAAAATAATTATAACCTGTTTCTTTAAAAGGTCATGGTTGTTTTATTGCAACTAGAATGGATTTAGCCATTTCTTTATTGTCCTGATCAGTAAAAAAATAAAAGGAAGGTAATTTAATTAAAATGATTTGAGAAATAAAATTGGAGAGCATACTTAAAGCATGGACATATAATATTAATATAGTTTGTGTTTTTAAAACCACATTTCCAATTTAGTAGGCAATTATTTTAAAATAACAAAAAAGCACAGTGCATAATTAAAAGAAATGAAATGGCTTTTGTAGACATAATTGCTTGGCATTTTAGACCTTTCCTGTTAGCTCTGATTTATTCTATTTTGTATGTTTCAGGTATGACTATGAAGTTCAAATAAAATGAAATAAATAACATGCAAAATTTTAAAAATATTAAACTCAGTTTCTATTAAATTCACTGAAAGACACTAAAATTAGTAATGACTAGAATTATACATATAAAACCCCAACCAAACACATTTTTCGCAATGATTTTAAAATGTCATTAAATAAATGGACATATAAAATAATATTGATGAATAATATTGCTCAATGGAAAAAAAGAATATTTATTTCCTTGCTGAGTAGATAGGCTTAGTCTTTTGGAGAGGCAGAAAGGCGGTGGTGGGGTAGAGTGGAATGTGGAAAGACCTGGGAGAACTAATATCAGATGAATTTCCTGTTCACTAAAAAATTTTAGTTACATTCTGACTTAGATTTTCTTATTAATTTATAACTATTTAGCTATATATTTTAGCTATCTATTTAATTATTTAACAAGTTATTACTACAATTAAATACCTATCAGAATAATTAAAATTAAAAAGAAAAAAAGCTCTCATTATGCCAAGTGTTGGCAGTGATGTGAAAAACCTATAACCCTCATACACTGTTCATGGGAATGTAAAATGATGCAATCAATCTAAAATTCATTTTGGTAGACTTTTTAAAATTAAACATATGCCGTCATGTGATGAATCCATCTCACTGCGAAG